CAAAAGTAGCAACTCCCTTGTCTGAAAAGTCACAATTCCCACTCAAAATTAACAAATATTACCCCGGCGGAGGTGTACAGAACGGTCAGATCGAAACATCGGCTCTCGGCAGGCAACTGAATAGTTAAGCAGCATCATGCTGTTCACCGGTTGAACGGTCGTATTAGAGGTCAGTGTTCACCTCATCCCTTGGCTTTACAGAACCAACATCGCACCCAGCCGTATGGTTCGACCGAGGCACGGCTGCATCATCTATGCACCTGTGGTCTGATTCTCATTAGCTCTAAATCGTTATGCAGGTTCTCCAATATGTGATGAACTTGTTGAGCAGCCATTCAATAGCTCAAAAGAAAAGTCCCATGGCGAACCATTTTCATCCCCTTCGATTTTTTCTTGCCGGCGCACCAACACTCTGTCGTAGTTTCGGAATTCCCCTCCAAGGAGCATGTCGATCATTCCTCAACTCGCAGCGCGCCTGTTTCGAAACCCTTCTCATCCATGTCACCGATAACCTCCGCGAATGTAATGTAACAACCTCTCACTAGTAGAATCTTGGCTTTCTTCATCGCCAAGACCCAGGAGTATGTGAATAACGCCGTGCCTCCGATAATATAAGTCCTTTCCTCAAACAACATATGCCTGCATGACTTGACTTGAGCATTCAATCCCAGTAATACATGAATCAGAACTGGCAGGTTTCATCCGATCCGGACCTGTGATTGCTACCACAAAGATCGAAAACGAATAACGGGATGTGGGCACTTCCTTCTACACGAAATCTAGCTATTCTATTTATGACCTAGTGATAAGTTAGCTATACTACATATCGGCATCCGCTTCATCCGTCTGGATTGTTGTTCATTCTCACTACTCACCGACAACAGACCCTGATGTAAGAGTCTTGCAAAATTCTGTCAATATTAGCTTCAAATTTGTATAACTCTCTGTTGATATAAACGCATTAGCTGTTTAGACTAAGAGTCTGTTAAATCTAGCCAGAATACAATTCTAGTAATTCGCTAGATTGTGACCAAAACCTCGATCAGCATAGGCGTTAAAGCCATAGTGGAAAGTGAGCATTTCATGTCTTCTATTGCCTTTACTATGTCCTCTTTTCGCTCTTCTAGCACATTTAGAGATACTTTGTAACTCTATGGGATCCCGAAGGCTCCGGGTCGTTGACAAATGACGTCAAGTGCCCAAGCCAATCCTTTTACACTATGAAGCATTTGTCTAAGGAAAGGCCGTATATGTCACCGTCAATTGACGCTCGCAGCTAGCGTCTAAACTAGACTCCGCGAAGAAAGCATACATAATTTATTAATTCAAGTGCAATGTTTGACAGCCGAGGCTTGATTAGCCGGTGTCAGTTTCGTCTGACGGGCAGAATAGTATAGACAATCCCCGTCCGTTGTCAACATGAGGACCGTGCAGCTTAGTTGGTGCTTGGTGAGCCCTTGCGCGCGCGGACCTGGACAACAAATCCAGCGTATCAAAGCTGTCGCTACAACAATGATCTCCGACAGACTTGGTAGAAAATGATAACTATTAGCACAGGTTGTGCTTGTGGTACCCAACGTGATGCAGGGGCGGAAGTAGAAGGCAGTCTTTACTATTTCTTTCTAACCACTTAGAAAGTCGGAGAAATCTGATAACGGCACCAACCTCGCACAGAGTTGAATCCTACAGCTTCTAACCAATCGACGCAAGGCATAAAAGAACAGATCGTGGGGGCCACAATGAAGGATCAGTTCTTGTGAGTTTGTCAGTCGTCTGGCTTTTCAGGCTGAATAGATTTGCATTGCATGGCGCCTATGATTGGTGATATGTGCCGAGTCTTGGGTAAGCTGTTTCAGGGGACTCTGACTTGCCTATGTTCTGGAACACCCCCTCACCAGAAATTTGTTCATGATTGAGGGAACCGTGCTGCGTAAAACCCTTTAGCTTTCCTACTCGCATCCTAAATTTTCTACCCTCCGAAACCAAGACGAACCTTGACCTGTAAACTCAGCTCCTCTTTCAAGAGTCCTCGTGACTCGGCGCGAGTATGCGGTAATTGAGAAGATGAGCCACCAGGGCTCGCTACGCCATGGGCTCGTCGGTGAAGTTTTACTAGACGAAGCAATAAATCGGAAGCAGAAGCGACTGAGCAGTTGGGATGTGACATTTCTTTGCATCCGTGCCATTGGCACATTACACTCCATCGGCCTAATAGGAGTAACTGTCTTCGTCAGCATCACGGCCAGCGGCGTTACAGACCTGACCGAGAGACTTTCCGAGATTTGTCTACCTCCGGTACGTGTACAGCGTCTCCTCTGATTCCTCCATGATTGGCAATATCGTTGACCGTTGTAGGCCGTAGGTTGTCTCCTTTGGGACAGTGCTGAGTTTACCACGATTGGGGTACGACGCGGTCGTGGCATTACCCCGGAGCGCAGATAGCACTCGAGTTTGTCTTATCCATGGGATGCATAGCAGCAGGATCATTGTTTGCTGCAAAGCATCTTGCAAGTGATGGCCATGTTTGGACCACAGGCACGACCTTCTTAATGATAATGGCGTAAGGACTTGAATTAGCCCAAATTTAAAGGAAATTGCTGATATAATACAAGCATCTCACATGCTTCACTATTTATAAGAGCATGTTTATTGTACCGAAGCGATGTCCAGAACAAAGAAGTGGACGGCATGGACAATATGGGTACAGCCAGGCAACACCTGTTCTTGAAACGCCCAGCAACATCTCCTCTATCAAAGGTCGAGACAGCTTCCACTGAGTACCATCAGAGCTCAGTTTCGAAATCTCGGGCAGAAACCACTGCAGTCGTGTCGGTGGGATGCCATTCACCATCTCGCGTAGCAATGCCACTACGACCAGAATTAGAACACTTTGCCGATGAAGGAGAGATTGTTCGTATGAATAGGGGCGAAACTCAGCCGCAGCTAATGACCATGTCTGATATGGGTGTCAAATTTTCCGTCTCTGACCTCGAAGATTCACCGTCGAGCGTCCAGCAGCCCGAGAACAAGTGCCTAGTTTCCAACAGAATTTCAAATACATGATGTATTAGAAGCCATTGAACTTGAGAGATTCGGGTGATTAGTCACAGAGAGTCGAGATAAATGGGGCTTTGCAGACATGGGACGAGGGATGGCTGGAGACGATGGAATGTTTCCAACTACAAGCTATTCTCAAGTGTACAGAAACCACTCCTGACATAACTTTACATAGGCTCGAAAAAGCTTATTCGAATTCTAACTTCATTCCGTGCTAGTGCTAGACACGTTATATTCTATTCGCTTGCATAGCGCCGTTTATGTATCGAGTCCTGACCAAAAACATCTCCATCTTGGCCCAAAGTCTCGTAACTATTCTTGCTCGTTCCACCGCATATGCTTCACGTAACTTGTTGTCCATTATTATCGAGTATTGCATCTTCGATGGCCATTACTTATTCCGGGATCCGAGGCCCTTGCTCTTCGATCCGGCCCCAAATCGCTCGTCTAGGAATTGACCCCTCAAGTTTCTAATGTGCTCTCTGTCATTGTTGCTCGAAGTTGGAGCATTGGTAGGGTTTGATTTCGACGTAGTCGCAGTTTCCGGAGAGTTTGCATCTTTCTGTGGGGTGGGGGTCGTAGATGGTGTCTGGCTGGAGCCGAGGGTGCGAACAACTGGAGTCAAACGAGTAGGAGCTCTCGGCTTCGGGTCCGAGAACAGACTCTGGAAGAATGATGAGATTTGATCGGCCATAATCGTCACGTCTGTCAATTTGTCTTTGTATGATGTGAGACGCTGTTGACTTGACTTAAAGCCAGTGGGAATTTGAAGTCGAGCCACGCTTAGATGTGCACAGGTAAGGTTCTAAAGATGCTTGAAGTGGCAGAGAGAGGCACAAATCGAAGACTCTGGACTATCGAGAGTTAGATGACGAGGAAAGGTTGAAACCTCATATCTGTAGATGGTTCCTTCAAATGGCGAAGGTGACCAATGATAGATGAGCTAAGGCCTAATTGTGTTGTCTGCCTGGTGCTGCGCCGCACTGCTCTGTGCCTGAGAGGGATCGCAGCCAACATTTGCAAGCCCGAGCCAGGCACTCTGTGGCCAATAGAATTATTGGTCGAATGTTTCTTGCGTCTGGAGTAGGAATGAACATATTGTTTAGTCCATGTCGCAATTGGCTTGTAGCAACTGAGCGGAGAAGTGTAAGCTCCTGTTAGGTGCCATCTTGGCCTTTCGACACTGTTAACTAACAACGGTCCTGGTTGTCTCTTCCTCTTTTTGAAATGCACGATCTCCTACATATAAGATCGAACATAACAATGAGTTTGGCACTTGGCAGCCAGAGACACTGACAGAGAGTCAGTGCTTTCAATATATGGTAGAGTGAGTATGACGGTTGTACCATTTATTAGATGATGTTGGCGTTTGATAAGCAAGAATGCCCCGATATCGAGATCTTAAGCATCGCCATTCTTTGACTCGTCTCTAGTATTTTATCATTGTATGGTGTAGGACCAGTATGTGGGGCAAGGTCTTGAGATATTCGCAACTCAGTTACTAGCCTTTTTAAGAAAACTTATCACTTCTCAGGTTATTTTATTCAGAACCGTAGAGGCAACGAACGCAGACTGATGCTGAGAACACTGTACCGGCTACCAGACAAGACAATCTAAAAGATAATTCACGAGACATTGTCAAAACGATGTAGTCTCTCCGCTTTCTGTTCCTCCCGATCAAGCGATCACCAGGATTTCCTTATAACTGCAAAACGCTAAGCCATGTTGTTGAAACACGGAGTGAATATCGATAATTCCGCCACTGTCGCTTGAGTTGTGCCTCTGCCTATGTCTTGAATCTCGATTTGGATCCGCAAGTCGGCAAGTTGCATTCGAAGGTCATTGGGTCATGAATTCTGTCCGAGAGGAGGCTGCACCTGGCGCGTCCTTAGTAGCGGCCGACGGGTAGCGCTCTGGGGCGCCCTGCTGTGCTGGGTTGCCTCGCTGGACGCGCTTCTGTCGCCCACTGTCCGTCCACACCGCCTCACCAAGTTCAGGATGCCCAAGAGGCTCAACAGGCTCAACTGCGTCAGAAAAATCACCGGGCACCTGGATTGCTTCACGACCACTCCTGGACTTGGCGTACGCGTCGTCGAACTCGGAACCGCCCAGACCGTATAGTGCGTCTTCAAAAAAATTCCTGTATTCCGATGACATGGCGACCTAAGAAGCTGGTTGCCGTAAAAGAGTGATACGATCGCTGGAGGAAACTTGCTGTTTCAGACAGACAGTGGTTATGTGATTAATAAAGGGTGGAAAGTGTTCAAAGTCAGAGCCTGGGGAAAATATTGGAAAGATCGAGAGTTCATCCCGAGGGCCGCTGTCGAATATGAGGCTGGCGTCCTGGTCTCCTCCCCAATGGCATCAGAGGGCGCCCTTGATAGCGGCCTGCTGTGTAACACATGTCACCTAGCAAATCAATCAATAGCCTTGTTTGGTAGCAGATTTCTACGGACGGAGACATACAAGTTTTTTATCCCGAGGCATCATCCCGCCTGGCTCGTGTTATTCAAGCCTCTACGCCGACTAAAGCAGCATCATCGTCCCAGATCATGCCTTTCGGGAGAGCCTTCCATTGCATTTCATCATCCAGCAACTCTGTCATTTCAGCCCACTCTGCTCGAATGCGAGCGGCTTTCGCCTCGCTTCTGGGGACAACCTTCGCCTGGAATGGCTTTGGCAGCACAAATAGACCCTCTGTCAAGTCGTGCATGGCAGGCACAATCTCTTCACCTGTAGCATCGTCAACAGCTCTGTGAAATTCAAATCCCCACAGCAAACGTGACATGGCCAAGAAAAGCGATCTATCAGCAATGTGCATGCCCTGGCAGAGCCGGCGGCCAGCACCGAAGACGAAGTGGTCACGTTTCGTTGCATCTGCGTTCGTTGCTGCCTCGGCTGACGTCTGCGTATCTTCGAGCCAGCGGCTCGGGTCAAACCTTTCGGGGTTTGCATGCCTCTTCGGGTCCATCTGTACTGCCCTGCAACCGTGAAGTAAGATACTGTCCCTTGACAGTTATTTTATTGAGCACTTACCACACGTTATACACCATCGTTGAGCCCTTCGGTATCTTATACCCCATGTACTCATCGTCCCGAATGACGGCGTGTGGTACACCCAAGATATCAGTGGGCATCCAACGCATGCTTTCTTTGATACAGCCGCGAATATAGGGCAGATTGGGGAGATCATCCAATTCAGGAAGTCGCTCCCCGCAAACACGATCAATCTCGGCCTGTGCGGCTGTCATAACTTCGGGGAAGATCAGTAGTGCTTGGACAAAGCCAATGAGGGTGGCAGCAGTCGTGTCAGAGCCTGCCTCAAGGAGTGACCCGCTGGTATAACCCGCAATACCTTCGGAAAACCCTTGCTCCTCTTCGGCTTTAATCAAGTCGACACAGAAGCAGGGCTGCGAAACGTCAGTTTTGTAGCTCTGTAGCTCTTGTGGCGTGGTAGAATCAATGGAGCTCATGCCTTTGCTTTTCCTTCCTTGTATCTCTTCTTTGTGTCTCTATAATGCCCAATGTACAAATCGTACTCCTTTTTGTGTAGGCTCTTTGCATACTTTCTCAGAGGCAGAAACACATCAGGAAGACGTCTGAGCAGTGGAAACAGGTCAAGGATGGTAGCGGTCTGACAGCCAGTGACCTCGCAGAACTGTTCGAAGCCCTAAGTTGCCTTTAGTATAATGCGATTTAAATACTTCAATGACATTTACCCATGTGAAACAATTGCTTTAATTTTGGGTCATCAATACTAGTTGTACGGAAACCGAAGACCATTTGTGTTGTCAAAGAGTTCGTGTATCTGCGAATGTGATCTACAAACAGTGACGGTTGATCAAGAAAGCCCACAAGCATCGCTTTATTCTCTAGGTCTTGGTAAGGAACATATGTTCGAGCAGCCTTGATATTGAGCAGATTGTGTACGAGCTTGCGGATTGAACGCCAGGTTTCGCCGTATTCCTTGTTTTTCAGATTAGATCTGAGCGATCAAGGAAACCCAGCAGAATTTTCATTTCAGTGAAAGGATCTCACCATCAGCAGGACGCGATATCCGCCACTGATAATCTGTCCAAGATACATCTCCGGGCGCGACGAGTAGATTCCGCTTCTCTTGTCTAAGAGATCCTTGATCGCTTGATCGGAAGAGAGGACGACCATGACCTTCATACCCAGAACGAGCGAGTATACAGGGCCATTTTCTTCTGACCATTTCTGGAACTGAAGGTGGGCCTTCTCTTTGGGCATCTGATGAAGATTTCCAATCAATGGAAGGGTTGGCGGACCTGGCGGACATCCATTTGGTCTCCGGCCGACTCTATTCAGTAAAAATAAGAGAACTCCTAGGAGACCTACTCCAATGGCAAGACGAGTTGACATAGCCATGGTCATCAATGCTCAAAAGAAGACAGATTTTTTTACTCTTGAACTGAGAAATTCTACCGAGCTTATAAATTATCACTGGAGGCTCTCCGGGTGATAAGATCTTTGGGCACTGCTATGCACAAGGCTGTACGTGTGAAGGGGCAATAGGTCGCACCCCATCTTTGTACTACCCACCATCTGAATTAAAAGGTACCGAGATAGCCCTGTAAATACTTTTTTCGACGAAAGGAAATGTTTTCTGATACCGCATGGAACTCCATTCATCGGTTGAAGTCTCAACTTATGACTATCGTAACTATTTGACCCGCATTCCCGTGGTCTGTATAAGCTCGCGTGGCTTCAAATAACGCATTAACAAGGAATCAAGCTGTCCGGAACCGGATCTCGATGAATATGCACCCCGCAGATAGGGAGGGTGACATTATAGGCAGGCTGCCTCGGGCTTGTTTGCTTTATAATGGTTGGGCCGCAATACTTGAGAAGCCGAATACTCCCTTGCTTCAGCATACATGACATATTGTGGCTCGCCAAAATGATCGATTGTAAGTGCTACGATCTCACAATCTAGGGTTGAATCTGTGTTATCGCAAAAGCTGGAAACCTGAAATAGTACGCGACTGTTGAAGATCACAGAACACAAATATGCCCAGAGCCGTGATATGAGCTGGTCAAATCAATGGAGACTCCGAGTTAGTGTATTCTTTTGTGGTAGGTCGAATCCATGCTAATGGCCTGCATGGGTGCTCTAAGGACAGCCGCATTGGATCATCAGACTCTTCTAGCACTATTAATCGCAACTCCGAACCAGCGCAATAACGTCTAACGCCTGGTTTCACTTTTGTCTGATGATTAATTCAGTGTCACTTGGAAAAGTAAAGATGTCTGAAGATGGAGAAGGTCGTGCTGTGAGAATTGCGAGGATAACAGGGTTGACTCGTTTAGGCAAAGAGCCCTGGAGACAAAAGCCTTGGCCTATTAGGATCAACCATGCGGGCTGGAGGCACCCCTGTGGCCCCCTCATTCCAATTTCAAACCGATGCAACTTTCAAGGGCAACCATGTCATTGAATGCGAGGGCTTTATAGGCAAAACATCAGAACATCACACAAGAATGGTTTCCGCAAATCTAGCCATCAAAATTTCTCCTTGAAGATTGAAAACGGAAAACGTAGCGTATGAACTCCCAAGAAGAAAATCTACATCGAGACTCTCGTAGCTGTTTTGCGGGGAGTTATCTCGGTTCTCGATGACTTCATCTAAAAGAGCGTGTGATGAAGTACGGTGTTACGTAGACAATCAGCAAGAAAACCACATGTACACCTGCAATCCTTCTCTCGTGATGATATTGCAAGCCACGACAAGGGATCACCCAGTCGTATATTTCAACCTCGTCCTCAAAAAAATGGCCCCAGAAAGACCCTGGTCGATCTTCAGCAGAGCTACCGTAAAGCCTTGCGCTAACATGTGGGAAGCCATGTGGGCTCCAGTCGGTTCTCTGGCGGGTGCAGATCACCAATCAGCCCTCTTTGCCCTAGCCAAGGGCATTTTTGATAGAAGATCTGTGAATCAGTGGATGCGGATTTGGTCAAAAGGGGCGAACAGGAGAAAAGCAATGTGGTGTTGGCTCTCCCACTTGTCATGACTTGCATCCTCATGTACAGTGGTCCGTAATAGCCTCGTGCTAGGCTCTTACGACACACCCTACCGTAGACTTCTGGGCCCGTCCTTGGATGGTCGCGGCTCCTGAGTCTATCATGGAGAGGTTTGGTGTTGAAGCCTGGATATTATTCTCGCTTGGTGCTGTCATCACGATACTTAGGACATACGCTCGGATCATCTCCAGCGGCGTCAAGGCGCTCCAGGCCGACGATTATTTGGCCTGGCTTGGTGCGGTATGTATTGATGTTGTTATATCGTTGGATCAAACTAATTAAATCGAGAAGGGCTTCTACGCGATAACCACTGCGATCCTTTATTCATTCGAAGGAGTGTCTCACGGCCTTGCTAACCATGGCATCACGGAAGAACAACGAGCCCGGCTACGTTCAGATGACCCAGAATACCAATGGAGGTTAGTAGACAAGTTCCAGCAATAATGCTCGATGCTAAAGTGTGTATTTAGGGTGAACGGAGCTATCATGCAAATTGCTGGATGGTTGACTTATTCGATCTTGCTATGGGCATTGAAAGCATCACTTTTGGTATTCTACCAGCGACTGAATGTATGAAGATCCCTACGTATGACTTGTGGTTGGCTATTAACCGTATTAGATTTCGTGGACGCGCACCCATTTTGTGAATATCTACATCGCCTTCGCCCTCGTCACAACCAGCTGGATAGTTGTCACGATGAATCTATTTCTGGCCTGTCGCCCCTTCCATAGAAACTGGCAAATCTCTCCCGACCCTGGAAGTAGGTTATAACTGAATCGCATGTGAGTATCGCAATGTGCTAATCTCAGATTCCTTCACAGATACCTGCCAGCCAGCTGTGTCTAGCCAATTGATACTTGTCTACCTATCACTCAATATGGCCACAGACTTATACCTGCTCTTTGTACCACTACCACTGTTATGGGATTCCAACTCGACGCTACCGAAGAAGGCAGGGACAGCGTTCATGTTATGCTTAGGAGTCTTGGTGATTGTTTGCGCCATCCTGCGAAGTGTTCTTGTTCTCCAGGTTCGTCATTTCTCTATACGACAGCAGACAAGACACTGACACATACCTTAGGATCCGGTCGGTAGTGTGCGCGTGGCTAGTTCATGGGCTCTGCGAGAGGCATTTGTCGCTGTTCTAGCTGTCAACCTGCCCCTGATTCTGCCACTCGTGAAGCACCAGGCGCCTCGAGTGTCTCAGCTCCTTCTCTCATCAACGCGTTGGACAGAGAAATTGAACGCGAAGCCCTTTGTGAGTAAGCACAGGTCTGAAAAGGGTTCAATTGCCTTGAGCGACCCAAATATGCAAGATTACGATGCCGCAGCGATAAAGACAGACGTATCTAAGGTCTCAACTAGGGAGAGCCAAGAGCAGATGATGAGGATAGTCACCTTGCACAATCAAGGGGCTTGGGACGATTGGAAAACCAGGAATGCATCGTCTCACGGCAAGAAGGACGACCGAAGACGAAAGACTGCCAGTGTGTATGAAGCACATGGGATTGATTCACTTGTGTTACCAGGTGAAGAACAAAACCTGGGGCAGATGGGCCACTTCGCGTTTGCAAGAGGTCCTGTGAGGACAAGCTATCATTCTCGAAAATAGAGCTCCTTCATTTTGTACGATAGCGTGCTACAATTTACTATTGGTCGAATGCAGTGAGTTTCATCTATACGTCTTCCCTGGCAGACTTGACAGACAACATGTATCTCCGTATGTAGGTCGTTGAACAGCCCCGAGGATCTGACAATCCTGCGCTCCTTGATGGGTCAGGAGCTGCAGCGTATGGAGGGGTAAGGGGCACGGGTTCAAGGGGGCTCCGCAAGCAAACGCACCCTTTTCGGCGCTGATCGACTGCATACTGCACACCGCGATTCCGTTGTTTGCCACGCACGCGTGTAAGCCCAGGCAGCGATAAGTTGTCTCTCTTGCTTGCAATGCATTATCAAACGGCACGACCACATCAGTCGCGCCTTATTGAGATCGAGAGCCGCCATTCTTATCACAAAGCTATGTTCTTCTAAGAATCTCCTGTGCCGTCGCTGGAGAACTTGTCTGGAAACCTGCTAGATTACACCATAGCACTTGAACCTGATATTGAGGCTCTCTTCCATAATGTCCCATCTCAACGAGGGACCTTTCCTTCAGCCATGGGATTACGAGGCTCGTGTACCAATCGTGGATGGGAAGATTCATGACCCCGTCACCGGAGAGATTAAGCCCAAGGGTGAATGGCTGATGTCCGGTCCCCCAGCCATGGACCTGGTCTGGACCAATATCAAGACAGTTGAAGTCGAGAACCTCTTCACCACATGTCGCATCACGCGGGCCGGCCCGTTAGACAAGATTCTGATCTCGATTGGAAAGTTTCTTGAGAAGGGCTTATGCGAGATTCATACCATCTCAGCGAGCGCATATTCAGTGACCTGTGTTATATATACCGAGGTTACGACCAACGAATTTGTGGATGCGCTTGGTGCGAGTGAGTTGTTTTGACTATCGCAGCTGGGGGTGATTAGGGGGAGCCTGGCAGAGGGTTAACATGTCGAGCTTCAAATCTCATAAAATTCTACGCTGCATGACGTTATGATTTCCGAACCTGTTAGCTATAGATGACAGGATGACGTGCTATGCCGTAAATTCATCATGATATTTTCGTTGTTCACATATGCGGTTTCATCTTTATGCATCCGGCGTTGGTAGTTGCTTCTCCGCTCCTTCTTCATTGTGGTTCGGTAACAGCACGACAAGTGGCTTGGGCAGTTTCGCGGTCAACCCTTTGCTCATACCGGCTAGCAAGGTAAAGTCAGTATACGATCATCAGGCTGTGAGGGGAAGTCAAGGACTGACAAATCATGAGATGCGCAAATTGTATAATGGACGGAACCCAGGTCACAAGCGCGAGAAATTGGCCAAAGCTCCAGTCTCGCGACGAGTTGACAAACGCTTGCCCAAAAGCATCTCTCATACTCTTCCACGAGGAATAGAAAATGACGCAGAGCCATATAATCGTAGTCGTCCCGAAGATGATTGGAAGCCACCCGAGAGCGAGATAGCCGCAATTGGCAAGAGTACCGTGCTGACCGGACTTGGACGGCCGTCCCCTGTAAGCCCATACGATGTGTAGCATGCTAGCTAGAAGTGCCAGTGCCCAGAGGGTGAAGCAGGCTGGGAAACGAGTTTTCTTGTCCCCGAGATTGTCCAAATTCGTGCCCCCAAGAATCCCCCTAAGGCATTGATGCTCCAGGGGGAGACCCTCGGGCTCTTCGTTCGAGTGCTGGAACCAGAATTCGATGCCGAAGAGTATGATTGTGAGCAGACAGTTGGCCACGAAGCCAATCAAGTTCGTGGGTCGTACGCGGAAGTGGTTCCAGTAGGAGGCTCCGATCATGACCATGGCTGTGCTGCTGATCAGGCTGAGGACCTCGGCCATGAAGATGTCATAGTACGTCTCATTCCACAGCCTGTAGATTATTGTCGATATGAGGACAGAGACAGTGAAGAGAATCACAGCCGAAAAGAGATCATCTAGTGACGCCACGAGGGAGTCCCGTAGGACCCAGCGTTTCGACAAGCTTGAGACGCCTTGTCTATAGCTGCCGAGGGGTGTCCAGCTGAACAGGGCTGGGAAGGCGAAGAGGACCGCAAGCACGATGAGCATGGCGGTTGAGATGAGCATCTAAATCAATCAGCGGTGGTGCCTTGATGAAACTATACAGATAGAAAACCTACACCGATACCTGTGATATCTGGATCTCCGATTCCCGAGAGAGAGTGACAAATCGCTCCGGTGCACTGATATTTGGTGGAGTTAAGGAAGGCCGCTGTGCCAATTCTATCGTTAGCCACGTTGTCCCACCACCAGTCGGACACAGCCCTTGGACCGGAGCCGTTTATTGTTGCTGGGAATGCCTTTGTGGTGAAGTCGTGCAGCGTTAGAACGGCTAGATCAAGCGTTGAAGGGTTGTCAATGACATCGTCTATGGCGATGAAGGTCTGGGGCAAGAGGGCGGAGGCATAGTAGCACATCGCCAGGTTGATACCGAAGTAGTTGTTGGTGATGATCTCCTGCAGCATGCTCATCTTGAAGTCGGATAGCTTGGTGATGTTGTATGGGTTGACGGTCGAGGGGTATGGCACGCAGGGGTTTGGCTGGCCCCATTGCGAGATCTTGTTGCCGTGCTGGTCGAGACACGACGAGTAGTCCAGTTCCAGATAATTCGCCATGGCAAACGATGGTGCTGGCCGTGCTGGTGATGCTAGTGCAGCTGTGAGCTAACAGGTGGCATTCTTGTCGTTTTCACCTCGAGATTGCAAATGTATTTCTCTTCGTAGACGACGTTGTTGTGATCTATTCGGAGCTTCCCTTTCACTCGTTTTCTGCGTTGGGAACGGCTGAGAGCTGAGACGTCATTTTCGTCTGGAGGTCGTGACGATGTTCCGGTGGCCCAATTGTTGCTTTTTGCTGCGGTGATCGGCCGCGAAAAGGATTCACAGCCGCGCCGAGTTTCCTGTTGCACATTACGTCAGGAAGGAGCGAGCGCTGAAATCGAAATCACCGTGTTCACAGGCAACTACGCTATGTTTGGTTATCTGAGTCGTCTATGTATACAGCAGCTGGGGCTGGGGCAGTGAGTCAAGCTTCCGTTCCTCACTTCATGCAGATCAGGATCAGCATGCTGAGTTAGGAGGAGTTGCGGTCTCGGAGAATTGCCCTTCCCTTCTGATACCTGATACACGATAGGCGGCGGCGGTTGATCTACAGCTGACTAGACTGGTCTAACAGCGCCACGGGATGGTCTGGCGCGAACAGCACCAAAATGTGGAAAGGCCTTTGGAATATGTGAAGAGTCTTTTGACATGGTGCTGACTCCCAGGAAAGCTGAGACGAGACGAGACGGGCTAGTTGTAGAACTGCCTGCGAAGCGTTAATTATTGCTCAGCTTACTTCTCCCTGCTGTTCATCATGGGCATGTCACGGCGTGCCTTTCTAGAGCGCTACCAAGGGAGCACCGGTTACATCTACATTTTGCCTATTAGAACAAGCGACTACATCAAGTCAACTTTGTTTCCTGCGACCTTACTGGTAGATCGCAATTGGCCCGTCACCAAAGAGCGGCATCAGGGCCTGTAACCGGGAATCCTGCGTCTGCTGCCGGGCGAGAGGCAGACTTTCCCACCACCAACACCAACACCAACACCACCCTAACATCCAACCAGTAGGCAGTCTGATGACGATGCAGAGCTGTATGTATGAATGTATGAGGCAAGGTGATGGGGTTCTGGAGAAGAGCACAGCCTCGGATCGGACACTGGGAGACTGGGTCATGTGGAGAGAGACAGAGATCAGTCCAGCCCCTAGTAGGGCATCGCTAACGTTAAAGCTACCGAGAGACTCTTCACTGTGGTTAACGTTAAAGCAAAGCTTAGCTGGAGTCCAGTGTTGGACGCATGGAGAACCGAGGGGGGCTTCGATCAGGGCTTCTAGCGTCATGCGCGACGTTGAACTGGCCCAGTCAAGCTTCCAATTGCAAGCCCGTGGAGATGGCAGTGGATGGACGGTGGATGGAATGGTGTGTGTTGGTGGCTGGGCACAGCCGCAAGCCATCGCATCGCATCGCATCGTGTAGTTGTCGTATGGAGACACCCAGGTAGGAAGCACTTGCTGCATAGTAGACACCTTCCTCATCCAAGCTAGAGAGCTCTCCTGCCACCATTCTGGCTCTAGTTCAAGAGACAGGTGTCAAGCGAAGTCAACAAATCAGCCTTGCCAGCGAGTGTGGAGAACAGATACCGGTGGCTTGACTGAGCAGGTAGACAGATAGACAGAGAAGGGGCGAGATCCGTTCCCCACGCTGCCACAACTGCGCCTCATCACTCAGGCTCGGTCTTCATAAAGGGTAACGTCATATATCATCCCCAGAAAGCGACAAGTATATAGATAAGACATGATAAGGCATCTGAAACTCAGAAGAAGACATCAAAAGAGATTCAAAGTGGTTTCTCATCTCATCGTGAAGAGAGTTTAGCTGTCCACTTGTCATTGTCGAGTGACTGATTGACTTGACTTAGCGTCTTGGAGACTCTTAAGCTTAAGAACCCCGCCACCGCCGAGACACCGAGACCCTGAGAGTGACGCAGTGAGCTCGGATCCGCTGCAGGCCAAGCAACACCAGCAGCTCTCCAGCAGATCTCCACTGGAGCAGCACACAAACCATGCCGTCCCTCTTCAAGAGGAGCAAGGACGACAAGTCGCCCTCCAACATCCACCGGCCCAGCAGCAGCAGCAACATCAGCATCTCCGGCCGCGATGAGGCTCTCCCGGCATACACCCCCGAGGCCACGGCCGGTGCCAATGCGGCGGGCGGCTCTCCGAACACCGATAATCAAGAGATCGACATAACCGCCGCATTCGCGAACCTCTCCATCTCGGCCACCCCCCAAGACCCCACCGTAGCCACATGCCTTGCCCACCTCAAGCTGCTCTTCGCGATCCAGTCCATGAAGGAGGATGTCGGCTACACCGACGGCCTGTGGGATATCTGGGACACGAGAGCCAGCAAGGACGAGCTGCCCCAAGATGACCCCGCCCTGACCGCGCTGCCCGACGGCAAACCGGCCGAGAAGCTGGCCCCCGAAGACGAGAAGAAGATCCTCCTCAGCAAGATCCGCGAGAAGCGATGGGCCTTGTTCGTCGCCCGCGCCGTCGACCGCTACGAGGCGTGGTGGGGCTCTTTGGAGAAGCAGATGCTGCGCGAGGTGGACATGACTATGGAGGGCGTTGCCAGCTACATCCTGTTCCCCTATCGTGGCGACCAGATGCACTGGACGCCCTTCATGCTGCCCCCATTAGGTATGCTCTCTCTCCTGAAGAAATAGAAATACCTACAAGTTTGTGGAATTGCAGTGCTGATAATCACAGATGTCCTCATGGTCATGCATGCACACATGCTGAACCCCCGATCATTCCTCGAAGACACCCTGCGCAACGGTTTGTGCGCCCTTTGGTCGACGGGCATGCCCTGGAACGTCATCAATGCTGCGATTGATAGCGATTTCAACTACAGTGTATCAGACGATGCAAAGGCATACTGGGTCGGTCAGACGGGTCGGAGCTGGGAGAATGCGGACGATTCCATGACCAAGACGCTCAGGTGTCCCGCATGCAGCACCTCGATCGAGGTCCCCTGGACAACTTGTGGTTCAGACGAAACATACAAGGGGAGTCGGTATGTTTTATCCTTCAAGTTTATTTGACCATCAGTTCTAACAATTTTCCCAGCCGGCCAGGACTGATCGGCTCCGGCTACGGAGATGGCAAGTTTCTCATCTACTGCCCGTCCTGCTCCATTCAAATCGACAAGGAGCTCCTGTCTGTCGCCAAGCTCGTCAAGGACACAGAATATCTTCTTGCGCGCTCAGTACCTATGCCAGGCACCATACTCGAGCCCAGTTCAGGGATGCCCGACATGATCCAGCCAGGATATCGCGGGCAGACCAACGGCCGCACCTTCCCCAACCGCCTGATCAAGCGGGCTCTACGCATCCAGATCATTGATCTCATCAGGCCTGGCGCCAATCCTCGTCCAACGATGGAGACCGTCCGAGACTTGATTGAGAAAACCCTGGCGGACAACAACGCACTGAAGAATATCGATGAGATCACCACTGGCTTCGGACGACGATATGTTCTCAACCCGCAAGCCAGAGTTTCCGTACGCAAGATGATGTCTCGATACTGGGAGAACTTCAGCCCCTTTGCGCTTGACCTAGGTGGCGCCGTGATACGGCAAGGCATCTTCACCGAAAAGATGTACCGTATCGACTGGCTTCACTCACCTTCTGCTACTGATACCATGACACGCCTGATCAAGAAGTACACACGCTTCATTGAGATCATGGCGGCATATCCCACTAAGACGGCGGTCCCCACGCTTGATGTCGATCTGGCCTGGCATACTCATCAGCTGAGTCCTAGTGCGTACTATCGCTTCACCGTGGAGCGAACTACCAAGTTCATCAACCACGATGACAAGATCGATGAAGACAAGCTCGGACAAGCCTTTGAGTGGACGAGTAAGATATATCAGGAACGGTTTGGTGAGGTGTACAGTGAGTGTACATGCTGGTACTGTGAGAGTAGGCTGCCCCCATTAATTGTTTCGCTACCCAAGAACTCTAACCATGTATAGCAATCCGTGCTTCTCATATTTCATCCGTGGGCAAGCTTCTCGGTGTGTCAAACAATGAGAAGATCGCCGACGCCTTCTACAACAGCGGTGCCGCGAACATGTGTCCGCCTAACAACTCGGCGCACATCTCCGCACACAATGCCGTCAAGATCGCCGAGACGGATGCCCGAAATAAAGTCACAAGGCACTTGCGCCTCTACCAGCAGCAGAAGCTGGAGGCAAACTACCAAAAGGCCGTGAGGCGCGCCGAGAAAAAGGGGAGAAAACTCCCGCCGAGAGACCAGTACTATGATCACTGGGGCTATTCTTACTTCAGTACGTTCTTCACAAGCAGTCAAAAATGTATCATGAGCAGAACTAACTCATTGGCAGTGTACTCGCCTTTCATCTTCCCATTGTACTTTACCCCAGGAATGTATTACGGATGGGATCCTTGCTATTCTGCCGCTGGTGCGGGCGCATGGGCGAACTGTGCGGCTGGCAGCTGTGGCAATGGCGGAGTCGCGGCCGGCGCCTGTGGTGGTCCTGGAGGCTGTGGAAACCCAGGGGTGAGCACTCTAGATAATATCTTTTAAGATCTCGTACACTGACTTATTGCGATAAGGGCTGTGGAACCGGTGATAGCGGCGGCGCGGGAGGCTGCTCCGGGGGAGGCGGGTGTGGAGGAGGAGGAGGAGGCGGTATGTGATGACTCTCCCAATGTCTTACTCTTAGTTGATCTTCTTGCTGACTTCTTAACTAGGATGCGGCGGAGGCGGCGGTGGTTGCGGAGGCGGTGGAGGTGGCGGCGGTTGTGGTGGTGGAGGTAACCTCTCTTCTTCCTAATCTTCTTCGCCGTTGCTAATGTTCCTACAGGAGGATGCTAGAGAGAACATCATTGTTTTGGGGCTCTTGTTGGTATATTCGGCTGCTGAGGCTTTTTTTGATATCCCCCTACGTTGTCATTGCGTATATTAGCGAGTCCACCATATGGTAGAGCCTCGTTCGCCCTAGGTCCATGACTTATACATTACTATCTTGATCATAAGTATCTTCTGATCGACCATGGTTTGTCGTTCACTCATAACTCCATATCCCATGCATATCATATCGTGGAATATGCGTTAAGTGCTAACTGTCCTCCAAGATGAGCGTACAGCACCTTGCTGCCCTCGGGTATCTCCCCCCTTTTGATCATGTCCATCATGCCAGCCAAGCTCTTTCCTTCGTACACTGGATCTGTGATGAACGCCTCTGTTCTAGCGCCGAATTTGATCGCTTCTATAGTGGTCTCATCCGGTACTCCATACGTCCCTGCATGATACCTGTCATCTAAAATGATGTCCGCTTCCGTAATGTCGTCTTCGTCAAGTCCGATCTTTACGCCCGTGAACTTCGCTATTCGCAGAACTTGGTCAAATGTCTGCTTGACTGTTGCACTGGCATCGATGCCCACCACTCTCCGCTTTCGACCGCCGTTCTTTTCTAGTAGCTTGAACCCTGCCACCATGCCTGCCATGGTACTGCCTGTGACAGCACATACTATTATCGTGTCAAAGAAGATGCCTATCTCCTCTTCTTGACCGGCAACTTCAAAAGCCCAGCGCGCAAAGCCTAACCCGCCCAGCGGGTGATCTGATGCTCCTGCAGGAATATAATACGGCTTCGATCCCGTTCTCTGGATCTCGTCCTGTAACTTAGCGAGCGTGTCCTTATGCTCAATGCCGAAAGTGCTCGGGTCCAGACGCGTGTCCGCGCCCATCAGTCGGCTGAGCTGAATGTTGCCGACGGTCTCATACCCGGCATCCACCCACTCGACCCAATGCTCCTGGACGAGCGCGACTCGTAGGCCCGATGCGGCGCCCACCGCGGCAACCTGGCGAGTGTGGTTGGACTGGACGCCGCCGATGGAGACGAGCGTGTCGCAGCCCTGCGCCAGCGCGTCCGGCACCAGGTACTCGAGCTTGCGGGTCTTGTTGCCGCCGTACGCCAGCCCCGAGTTGCAGTCCTCGCGCTTGGCGAACACGGCCACCTTGCCCCCGAGCGCGGCCGAGATGCGCGGCAGCGCCTGGATGGGCGAGGGCCCGAAGAGGAACTCGGAGCGCGGGATGCTGGCGAAGGGCTCGGGGAGGATGACGGTGCTGGTCGCCATTGGTGCCGGACGACAAATTGAATCGAAAGGGGAACAAACTTTGCAGTAGCGACCGTTATTGCGGGAGATCGATCTTGCATCGACCGGAGTGTGCCGCAGCGGGGGG